CAATTAACTAAGCAAAAATACTTTCTTGAAGCAAGTATTGAATTCTATTAATTATGAAAGTTTTAGCTGAATATTCTGCTACAATAATAACTGCTTAATATATCTCTCGAGTAAGAAAGGTTCAGAATAGTTTCCTTAGAAATCTAGGCGCTATAGGCAGATAGCGATAGCAGGGCGAGAATGCATGCTTAGCATCTTCACAAGTAGCAATCCGAACTGCTCTAATACTGCGGAACAGAGCATTCAGGCATTAGGAGAAGAGCTTAGCAATGATACTCTTCAACATTCTTTATCATCTATGCTAAGCATTATGATTAGGGATATGAATAAAGAATAATACTTTCTTGATTATTAGTATGAATATCTAAATAATACTGAAGATGCTTCTCAAGCAATAGAAAGATTAAGCCAGAATGAGCAATTCAATGATTCATCAGAGCCTTTTGTGAATAATAAATCTAAGAAATCTATAGAAAGGTTTCCTTTTAGTATTGAATGGAATAAGGAAATAATATAGATTGAATATCTCATTTATAGAATAGAACTAGAAAAGCTCTTTATCTGCATTTCCTTGCAAAATATCAAGATATAAGAAGATAAGAACTCTTGGATCAGCTTATTTCATGATCTATACTACAAACTAGCATGAATCTTCTGCACTTATTATAGCTGCAGAATGCACTTCTCAGATAAGATGCAATACGAATAGTTCTCTATTAGGGAATCAGAACAAATCCTTTAGGCTATTAAAGAAAAAGAATTCTGCTTCAGAGAAATTCTTAATAAATAGTACTATAATACATATATTGAGCTATTAGATAACTGTTCTATACAATATATAAATAAGAAGATAAAATAATAGCAGTATAAGATGATATTCTATATGATTTATATTAATAATAAGATTTGCAACTAGTATTAATAAAAGAAAGATTAGAAATAATAATAATATAAGCAAAAGCAAGCTAAGAAGCTTACTCAAAAAGCAGCAAAGCAAGCTTAGAAGAATAAATAGTTCTTAATAAACTCAAAAGAACAGAATTGCTTATAAAGAAATTGCAGATAATCAGATTAGAATGATCTTTATATGAAGCTTCTAGAATAAATTATGCTTATATTAAGTTTAATATATATATTTAAGAATATAAATACAGCGTACTATTGAATAGTAATGCTTAGAGAAACTTTATATTTCTATATATCATTAATCAGGCATAACTATAATAAAGATGGAAAAGATATTCATATACTCTTAGCATCATAAAAGAATAATCTATTGCATATAATCAAGAAATAATTAATAAGAAGACTGATCATCTATCTATCTTAATTCTAGAATATATAATCAGAATTTCTTTTAATATCATGGATATAGCATAGCATGAGCTAATTATAAAGCTTTCATAGCTCAAAAAGCACAATCCTCGAATCAATTAAACTACTAGCTAGATCTCATAAGAACAAGCTATACTCAGAGAGATAGTTACAATCAATAGCGCAGAATTGAAGCTAGTAATTAAAGAATATTCAGAAAAAGAAGCTTTATACAACTTCATATATACTTTCAAGTTAGCAGAGCTAGCAATCCAAGAAGAAGAATCTAGTAATAAGCAAACCCAAATAGTATCAGAGCATCAATAGATTAGCAAAATAACGGAAGCGAGATTCTCAGCAAGTTAGTTTGCTCTAAAGCAATAAGGAAAAGCTTTAGAATGTGAATTATAGAACTATACAAGAAAAACCTCGAAATCAAGCTCTTAAGCGCTCAGTTCAGCTCGGAGCAAACGCTCAAAGCTTTTAAAAATATTAACAAATAAAAAGAAGTATGCTTAACAATATCTACTATTTCTTCAGATAGCAGAAACAGTATAAGAATCAGAATTAATACTTGCGAATATATTACAAGAATATTACAAGTTTAAGAAACTATTCCAGAGAGAATTGAATACAGAATTATCAGAATACAGCTTATACAATTACAAGATTCCACTACAAGAAGGAAAACAGTCCAAATTCTTCTCTATTTATAAACTAAACAAAGCATGATTAGAAATACTTCGGAAGTATCTTAATGAGAATCTTAAGAAAGAATATATATAATTATTGCAATTATTAGCAGAATATCTTATCCTATTTATATTCAAGAAAAATAGCAAACTTAAGCTATATATTAATTATAAGCAATTCAATAATATTACAATCAAGAATCAATACTCATTACTATTTATCAAGAAACTATAAAATAGATTATAAAGAGCATAGTGATTTACAGTTCTGAATCTGAAAGAAGCTTATAATCTGATTAGAGTAAAGAAAGGAGAAGAATGGAAAACTGCTTTCAGAATACGCTATGAATACTACAAATATTTAATTATATTCTTTAGTCTAACAAATGCTCTAGCTTCATTTCAGAAAATGATTAATTATATTCTATATAAGCATCTGAATCAGTTCATTATTATCTATTTCAACAATATTCTCATTTTCTTTTAAATACTAGAAGAATACAAAAAATATGTGAAAATAGTATTGCAAACGCTTCAAAATGCAAAACTCCTTATAGAATCTGCAAAGAGCTACTTTTATATACAAAAAGTTGAATATCTCGGATTTACAATCAAGCTAGAATATATTAAGCTTCAGAAGAATAAGATGAAAGCTATTAGAAATTAGCTAGTTTTCAGAAACGTTAGAGATATTAGATTTTTTCTCGAATATATTAACTTCTATAAGCAGTTTATTAAGAACTATAGCTGAATCGCATACCTTCTTACAAATCTTATCAAAAAAGAATAGCTTTTCGAATAAACTCCCAAAGCATAAGAAGCCTTTAATAAGATTATTAAGCATATTATCTTAGAACCAATTCTGTATAAAGCAGATTCTTATAAACTCTTTAAAGTTGAGACTGATGCATTAGAATATATACTTGGAAGATAATTTAGCTAGCAAAACAACTAAGAATGTTTAAGAATTATAAGCAACTTCTTAAAGAAGTTGAATAGCTTGGAAATCAATTACAGAATTCCTAATTAGAAACTCATAACAATAGTAAAAGCTTTTAAGAAGTAGCAATACTATCTTATTAATATATAATATCTAATTATAGTTTACTCGGATTATAAGAATCTGATTATATTCATAATAACTAAGATTTTGAATAAGCAATAAATTAGATAAGCAGAATTTCTCTTATAGTTTGATTTCAAGATTATATACTGCAAAAGCTTGGAGAATGAATAAGCAGATGCTTTCAGCAGAAGATCAGATTATCGGAATGCAAACTCTTTAGATATATAGAATATCTTTGCTTAAGATAAATTAGAAAACCTTATTAATGCATATAGAGAACTGAATGCTACTTTTAGAATTGAATCTTTGGAAAAGAATTCAGAATTAATGATTTCAGAAGAACAAAACAATTATATTAGAAATGTATACAGTATACTAGCATACAGATATCAGAGAGTTAGAGCAATCTACGAATGTATTAAAAAATACTAGAGCTTATTAGGCTTTAGGAAAAGAATTGAGAACATCCTATAATAATGCAATAGCTGCAAGAAGAATAAAGCAGAAAGATATAAGCTTTACAAACTACTGCATTTCTTATTAATATTTATAACTATTTAGTAATTCATTAATCTAAACTTTATTATCAAGCTATTTCTCTTATAAGAATCTTTAACTAAAATGCAATATAATAGCATTTTAGTAATAGTTTGCAGATTAAGCAAATATGCTTATTTTCTTTCTTATAAGAAAAGCAGTATAGCAGAGGAACTTGCATATGCATTCCTTAGAACGATTATTGCTAATCACAGCATATCAGAAGAAGTAATCTCTAATAGAAACAGAAAATTCAATTTAAAGTTTTAAACTTTACTCATAAAACAGCTTAGAACACATTATAGAATATTTACAGCATTTCATTCATAAACAGATAAATAAATAGAAAGAATAAATTAGATTATTAAACAATATCTTCAATACTATATCAATCAGAAATAGAACAATTAGATCAACTTGTTGCTTCTTGCACAGTTCGCTTATAATAGCATAAATATAAGCATAATAAAGAAATCACTATTCTTCATACTCTATAGATATAACTCAATAGCTTATTACAAAGCATTGCAAGAAGCAGATGCAGAAGCTGCAGATAAAAGAATTAAGAAGATTAAGAAAGTTTAGAAGAAACTTTAATTAGAATTATAATTTGTTTAGGAATAAATAGTATAATATGCAAACTCCAAGAGAATTAAGAAATCAATCTTACAAAAAGAAAATAAGATTTATTTATTTCGAAAAAATATCAAAATAACAAGATCTAGCAATAAATTCAACTATAAGAAGTTAGAACTATTCAAAATCTTACAACAGATCTTTCCAATTAATTACAAATTAGCATTACTCTATAGAATAAGAATATATTCAGTTTTTTATATCTTACTGCTGAAATTAGCAGCATAAGAAATATTAACGAATAAAACAGCAAAAGTAGAAAACAATGAATCAGAATACAAAGTAAAGAAGATTCTCAAGCATAGAGGCATAGATAATACAAGGGAATATCTTATCAAATGAAAAGGTTATTCAGCAAGCGAAAATTCTTGAGAACTGCAGGAAAACATTAAAAATACTTAGGAAAAGATAGCCGAATATTAGAAAAGGAAAGCTAGCACCTAAGACAATCACTCTGCCCCGAACCAAGATCCAGGGGCTTCAGAGACCTCGCTCTCCAGGAAATCCAACTAATTCACCACTGCATTCCCTACATTTACAGAATTCCAGTCGAAACCTTCAGAAGAAGAATTCCCAGAAGCAACAACAGGCCCTGCGGAAACCACAGCCTGCACCTCAGCAGCCACACGCTCACGCTCCTCCTCCTCCAGGCCCTTGTTTACCAGCTTTATCCCCTTCTCCTGAAGGAAGCGCTATTGCTTCTTCAAACGAGATAAATGATCTAAGGACTCGGAAAGATAAGCTTAAGCATTCGCTAACTCTCGCTGGCATTTTAGCAGACATTCCTCCTCTTCTATCTCCCTACTATCCAGATGAACCAACTCATCAGTAATACGGGATACTGAAATGATATTATCAGCATAAAAAAAAAAAAAAAAAAAAAAAAAAAAAAGGAGAGAAAGAAAAATCTACAAGAGGATATAGAAATCCAGCCAGCATCACATGAACAACTCCGCTTGGTATACTGAGAATAACTCTTTACTTCATTAACCATTTTGCACTGCACTCCTTCTTCCAAATACAACGAATACAGCATGATCTCGTAACTGGTAGACTCGATGTACGAAAAACGCTTGAGACGACGGAAGTGCGGCTTTGAGAGAGCTACAGAAGGATCAGAAGCAGAAGAGAATTTGCTAATGCGGGAATTCAAGATTCTGTTCAACATGACGAATTAGGAAGGCATGATCATGCATGCGAATAACTTGCCAGGATACTTACGGAAGATTATTAGGGATAACGATCAATAGAAGGGAGATAATATTATAATCCATCCAACATGCAGGTTATAGAACAGATCACGAGTAACAGGGACTAGGTATCCAGGACTTAACATCCTGATAAAGCATTGATTATATAATCCAGGGTTAGAGTTGCGGAAACCTAACCAATCAGACAGCAAGGCGATTACTTGTAATTACTGATGCTCAGTAATCAGTAGCAATCCAGAATAATCAGTAGTAATCTGGAGCGATTACTAGCAAGCAAGAACTGAAGAACCAAGTATATAAAGGTTTATATTTCCTACTGTTAGATGGATTTCCTTCAGATAGTTCTTCAGTTATTAATCTAAGTATTCAGTCTTCTATACTGAGTAGCTCCAAAGGCAGTGAATACTTGCATCGCTTCTTAAGACTTGTACAGTTCCGTATTCAAGGACTTGATACTTTGATACTGCTCTTGTTAGCATAAACTCTCTTCGTATACTTAGGAATCTTCGGATTGCTGCAGTGCTCATTACAGTAAGTCTTTCAAGTGCAATACTCGCACTATATATACTGCTTAATTGCTGCTTCCTTAGCACTTTATCTAAGCATTCTTTAAAACTTAAAGCTATTTAATATAGATTGCAAGCTTTCTACTAGAGACTTAGTTTACAGCTAAGAAGCTTAGCATTCAGAATAGCATTTCTGCAGCTATAATGAATAATTATAGCTTTTCATTTTAAGAGTTGCTCTCTAGCAATTCTGAAGCTATTATTATACTTTGCTCTACTGCTAAATATAGAAGAATAATTGATTTGCAATCTAATACTTAAGCAATTTTAGTTATTAAGCAGATATTCTATTTCAGCTCTATACTCTTGCTTAAATAGTAAAGAGCATATTCTTAAAAATAGAAGATATTCAGATTTACTGCTTACTTACTCTGCTCTTTCGCTTGAATAGCAAAGAATATACTCTTAAAAACAGAAGATATTCAGATCTACTGCTTGTTTACTCTGCTTTCTTGCTTGAATAGCAAAGAATATATTCTTGAAAACAGAAGATATTTAGATCTACTGCTTGCTTACTCTGCTCTTTCGCTTAAATAGCAAAGAATATACTCTTGAAAACAAAAGATATTTAGATTTACTGCTTGCTTATTCTGCTTTCTTGCTTGAATAGCAAAGAGTATACTTTGTTCTAGCTTAGCAATTCGAATGCTCTGAATCTCTTCTGAATGCTTCTTGCATACTGCTTATATACTGCTTGCTTGCTGTTTGCTCTAGCTTAGCAACTCAAATGCTTTAAATCTCTTCTGAATGCTTCTTATATGCTGCTTGCATACTGCTTGCTCGCTATTTACTCTAGCTTAGCAATTCAAATACTCTGAATCTCTTCTGAACACTTCTTATATGCTGCTTGCATACTGCTTGCTTGCTATTTGCTCTAGCTTAGCAACTCGAATACTCTGAATCTCTTCTGAATACTTCTTGCATACTGCTTGCATACTGCTTGCTTGCTATTTGCTCTAGCTTAGCAACTCGAATGCTCTAAATCTCTTCTGAATGCTTCTTGCATGCTGCTTACATACTGCTTGCTTGCTGTTTGCTTTAGCTTAGCAATTCAAATGCTCTGAATCTCTTCTGAATGCTTCTTATATGCTGCTTGCATACTGCTTGCTTGCTATTTGCTCTAGCTTAGCAATTCAAATGCTCTGAATCTCTTCTAAATGCTTCTTGTATACTGCTTATATACTGCTTGCTTGCTGTTTGCTCTAGCTTAGCAATTCGAATACTCTAAATCTTTTCTAAATGCTTCTTGTATGCTGCTTGTATACTGCTTGCTTACTATTTGCTCTAGCTTAGCGATTCGAATGCTCTAAATCTCTTCTAAATGCTTCTTGCATGCTGCTTGCATATTGCTTGCTTGCTATTTGCTCTAGCTTAGCAACTCGAATGCTCTGAATCTCTTCTGAATGCTTCTTGCATGCTGCTTGCATACTGCTTGCTTGCTATTTGCTCTAGCTTAGCAACTCAAATGCTCTGAATCTCTTCTGAACGCTTCTCATATGCTGCTTGTATACTGCTTGCTTGCTATTTGCTCTAGCTTAGCAACTCGAATGCTCTAAATCTCTTCTGAATACTTCTCGCATGCTGCTTGCATACTGCTTGCTTGCTATTTGCTCTAGCTTAGCAACTTGAATGCTCTAAATCTCTTCTGAATGCTTCTTGCATGCTGCTTGCATACTGCTTGCTTAATACTGCTTGCTTGCTATATTCAAAGCTTGAAAGCTCGAAAATCGAAAGCTTGAAGGTTAAAAGCTTGAAGATCAAAAGCTTGAAGATCAAAGGCTTGAAGATTCGAAAAGAATAGTAGTCTGATCGTTTGCTCTGCTCCTGCTTAGTATTAGCGCTGCTCCTAGAGAAAAAAAAAAGATAGAAAGCCTCGCCGGATTGCCTCCTTTAAAAGAGCCAGGCCTCAAACTGTCAGGTGGAAAGGTTGCAAAGGCAATGTAGCGAGGTCTTTTCTCTCTTTCAGGGGTATACAATCAGAATAACATTGAGGCCTAAGGAGCTAAGTTCTGCTCAGCAGTGCTGATGTGGCTAGAAAGCTGCTTTATAGCTGCATATTGCTTAGTTATCCGTAATCCAGCTGGCTTAGCTGGCTCTGAGCCTTGCTAGCACAATCAGCCCTGACAATATTGAAGAATTTCAGCTGAACTAATATTAACAGAAAAGCATTATTCAAGCTTAGCAGAAACAGATTTAGCATAGCTTTCAGATTTTTATATATAAAAGCTATAAGATAAACAAGCTAGCTATATATAATAGTACTCAGAAACTTCTTCAGAAATTCCTTATTTATTATAAAGCATACTTCTTATACAATACTTCTTAGTTTATTATAAAATCTGAGAAGATTATTCTTATTGAAACTTGCTTTAAGAAAAATGCTCTTATTTAATATAAATCTTCTCTTTATAATTATTTAGAATATGCTAATAATTCTAATATATATATTAAAGCTATTAAGAAAATATTTAATTTCTTTAAAGATTTTGAAAAAGCTTTTAAGAATATTTTTAATAATTTTAATAAAGAATATATAATAGCTAAGCAGTTAATAAACTTTAAATAGATTAAATTAATATTAGCTTATATAATTAAGTTTAGGTAACTTATTATATAATTCTTATAAGAAAATAAGAATCTTATTGAATATTATTATAAGAAACTTAAAAATAAAATTAAGAATAAAATTACAAAGTAGAAATAATTTGAAAACTTTATAGCATTTTCAAATATAGCTATTAGAATAGATAATTATTTTTATAAATAATAAATAAAAAAGTTTAAGAAGAGAGAAAGCTAACTTATATAGCAATTGCAATCAAATATTAGCAAAAAGTTTCAATTCTAAAGCTAGAACAAAAACTTTCAACAGAATATAATATAAAGTAAAAATATTTATACTAAACTTATAAAATTAAATATAATTATAAGAAAAATATATTACTAGAATTATTATAATTATAATAAACTAAGCTATATTATATAAGATTATTACTAGCTTAAGAAGTTTTAATAATAGAAACTTATTTCTAAAGAATAATAACTTAATATAATATAAGTATAATAATTCAATTAGCTAAGCAAAAATATTCTCTTAAAGCAAATATTAGATTCTATTAATTATAAAAATCTCAGCTGAATATTCTGCTATAATAATAACTGCTTAATATACTTCTTAAGTAAGAAAAGCTTAGAATAATTTCCGAAAGCACTATGAAAAAAAACTAAGCAACTAGCAATAAGAAGAAAGAAACTAATCTACAATATAATTCTGAATAATAACAACTTAGATTGCTCTAATATCTTTAAGAAAGAATTAGCTTTTAAAGAAAATAACAAAGAAAGATATTTCTTGAAATATGTAATAAGCACTGCAGCAATCCGAAGATTCCAAAGTACACAAAGGGGTTTATGCTAACAAGAGCAGTATTGAAGTATCAAGTCCTTAAATACGGAATCTGTTCAAGTTCTTAATAAGCGATGCAAGTATTCACTGCTTTTAAAGCTACTCAGTATATAAGACTGAATACTTAGATTAATAACTAAAGAGCTATATACTGAATCTATCTAATGGTAACAAACGTGTTCTTATATATTCAGCTTTTTAGTATAGCTTATCTTAGCTTATTATTGATTCAGATGATTCAAGCTTACTGAATTATCTAATAATTCAGTAATCCATCTCTGCTGTAACTCTAACTCTAGGTTATATAATCAATGCTTTTATTAGAATATTGGATTCTTAATATCTGATTCTTGTTACTTGTAATCTGTTTTGTAATCTGCATATTGAATAAATTATAACATCATCTCTCTTCTATTAGTCATTATTCTCAATAATCTTCTGTAAGTATTCTAGCAAGTCTTTTGTATATATGATCTTGCTTTCCTAATTAAGATGTTGAACAGAATCAATAAATCTTGTATTTCCAAGTCTTATTCTCAAAAGATTAAGAAATGTAAAAGTCTTCTTTCTGCTATTCTTCAAAATTCCTTTATCATATCTTCCTATTTATTCTATAAGAATTAAAGCATTTCTTCCTGCTAGATTTCTCCTCTTGATTCTTCCTGTTATGCTAAATGCATTCAACTTAATTATTTCTGATGTAATGTATAGAGTATTAGTTCTTTGAAGCTGTATAAGATTGCTATTCAATATCAAGAGCTAGAGAATGAGTTGCAGGCTGCTAAGGAGAAGATTCTTTGATTGTACAAGTAGAAAAGAATATGATTTGAAAAGATAATGCATGCTATTCGTTGTAGCATTGATAATATGAAGAAGC